ATGAGTCAGCGTCGAATGATTCTGTAATTACAGACAAGAGAGAGAGATGAGTCAGCGTCGAATGATTCTGTAATTACAGACAAGAGAGAGAGAGAGATGAGTCAGCGTCGAATGATTCTGTAATTACAGACAAGAGAGAGAGAGAGGTGAGTCAGCGTGGAATTATTTTGTTATAACAGACAAGAGAGAGAGGTGAGTGAGTGAGTGAACACATCTACAACTACAACTCCTCTAAGGTTGTTACTCTACCATCTACCAGTCATCTGTCCACACGTTTTGCCGCACCAACATCTCCCAGAGGTGGACAAGTGGTGGTGGTGGGAACGGGGGGGGGGGGGGTGCGTAAACATCACAGGCCATCGCAGCGTCTTCTCTCACACAGGCGCACACACAGACAGACAGACACACAATTTTGTTCGATGAATGGCGAGCAACAACAACAACAACAACAACATGAGTTTGAAGGGAATAGGGCTGGGAACAAGCATAGACAATATGACATGTCAATAACACTAACAGCTTCTGACGACATGACATGTCACTGACAGCTTCTGACAACATGACATGTCACTGACAGCTTCTGATGAAAGGACATGTCACTGACAGCTTCTGACGACATGACATGTCACCGACAGCATCTGACGACATGACATGTCACTGACAGCTTCTGACAACATGACATGTCACTGACAGCTTCTGACGACATGACATGTCACTGACAGCTTCTGACGACATGACATGTCACTGACAGCTTCTGAGAGAACTGACGACTGACGACATGACATGTCAATGACAGCTTCTGGCGACATGACATGTCACTGACAGCTTCTGATGACATGACACGTCACTGACCGCTTCTGACAGAACTGACGACATGACACATCACTGACAGCTTCTGACAGAACTGACGACAAAACATGTCACTGACAGCTTATGGGACTGTCTGACACGGACAGACAAATGCCCCCTTCTTCTTCTTCTGTGCACTTCAATGTATTATTCCCGATACACAGTCCTCCACGGACAAAAAGCACAGATCTACACACGCAGTCTTATGAACAAAATAACAAACAACTACCCCCCCCCCCCCACACACACACGCACACACAAACAAACAAACAAAACGACAGCAGCAAAGAAATATATAATGTTTCATAACCATAACAACCTTTTCCTGAGCTATCGCCCCGTGTAAAGGAAAAGTGAATGGGTTTCGAATTCTGTCCGTGGACTTTAAAAAGAAAATATAGCGGGCTTTTCAAAGTTGGTGTGGCCGGCAGATGTGCACGTGTTGAATATAGCAGAGTGAGTGAGAGGGTGAGTAAACGGTTTGCATACCTGGTTACGCGTGTGAGAGAGAAGGGGGGGGGGGAGAAAGAGGTGAGAGAGAGAGAAAT